ACACACACACACACACACACACACACACACACACACACACACACACACACACACACACACACACACATTTTCTTTCCTTCATCTTTTTAATGTGACCACATCAGCGTGTACATCATTACACGTCTGTAAATGTTGTTCAGAGCTGAGCCTTACAGTGTCCCGAGACGACGTTTCCTCGTTTGACTTCATTTCTCCTCCGGTTACTACTTGTCTTGCTTTTTGGTTTGCTCTGTTTTCTGTGTCTCTATCATTACTTTATTCCGCAAATGCTTCAGTCGAGTGAAAAAAGAAGCCCTCCTGTCAGTGACGCCAGACACATCAGCTCGCCTCCTAGCTCTAGGGTTTCCGGGTGGTGGTCCTCCTGGAGCCCTGCCCTCCTTGCTCCCGTCTGGACTGCTTGCCCTTGAGGCCTCTTACTGCTCAGCTGTTGCCCTGGGTCTTCACCGTCATCCCGGGACTCCTGTCACCTCTGCTGTCCTGAATCACCTGCTCCCTGGATGCCATCTTTTCCACATTTGACGTCTGCTCTCTTTTTAGTTCACGCACATCTTCTAGGAGCTCCCTGAGAAAAAAAGTTTGCATGGGAGTTTTGTTTTTGAAATCGGAAACTTATCTGCAGATATCTTTATTATATTGTTTATTCGATTGGTGTTCAGTGGGAATCTGATTCTAAATTGGAAATCATTTTCCCTCTGAATTTTGAAGGCATGTTTTTCACATTCTCTTAGTTTCCAGTGTTGTTTTTGGAAAGTCTGCTGGATTCTGATCCTTAATGATTGTATGTGACCTTTTTTTTTTTCTTTTTGCATTACGTGGGCCTCTCACTGTCGTGGCCTCTCCCGTTGCGGAGCACAGGCTCCGGACGCGCAGGCTCAGCGGCCATGGCTCACGGGCCCAGCCGCTCCCCGGCATGTGGGATCTTCCCGGACCGGGGCACGAACCTGTGTCCCCTGCATTGGCAGGCGGACTCTCAACCACTGCGCCACCAGGGAAGCCCCTGGAGTTTTGTTTTTTGAAATCTGAAAATTATCTGCAAATATCTTTATTATATTGTTTATTCAATTGGTGTTCAGTGGGAATACGATTCTAATTTGGAAATCATTTTCCCTCTGAAATTTGAAGGCATGTTTTTCACATTCTCTTAGTTTCCAGTGTTGTTTTTGGAAAGTCTGCTGGATTCTGATCCTTAATGATCGTATGTGACCTCTTTTTTTTTTTTTTGCCCCTGGCTTTTAGGATCTTGCCTTTATCCCCATTGTTCTGAAACCTCACAAGAGGTGGGATGTTCATTGTGCTGGGCACCTGATGGGCCCTTTCAGTTCAGTGTGGAAACAACTCCTGTCCTGTGGTTCTGGGAAATTTTCCTGAATGTTTTTTGATAATTTCTTCCCCTCCACTTTATTAGCCCTTTCTGGAATTCCTGTTAAGCAGAATGTTGCACTTTTGGATTGAGCCTCAAATTTCCTTTACAATTTCCTGGGATTTTCCATCTCTTTTTTGTTCTGCTTTTCAGGAGGTGTTTTTTGTTTGTTTGTTTTTTTGTTTTGTTTTTTAATCTTTACCTTTGAGCTTTTCTGTTGAAGTTTTTTTTTCTCTCTCTCTCTTTTTTTTTTTTTTTTTGGCTGTATTGGGTCTTCGTTGCTCCGTGCAGGCTTTCTCTAGTTGTGGCGAGCAGGGGGCTGCTCTTCATCGCTATGTGCGGGCTTCTCATTGCGGTGGCTTCTCTTGTTGCAGAGCACGGGTTCTAGGCACACGGGCTTCAGTAGTTGTGGCACATGCGCTCGGTAGTTGTGGCTCGCGGGCTCTAGAGTGCAGACTCAGTAGCTGTGGCGCACGGGCTTAGTTGCTCTGCAGCATGTGGGATCTTCCTGGACCAGGGCTTGAACCCATGTCCTCTGCATTGGTAGGCGGATTCTTAACCACTGTGCCACCAGGGAAGTCCCTC